GGGAATAGTTTAGTTACAATGAAACAGGTTCTCCAGGGAATCCAGTTAAATGAATTGAAAATCAATATTTCATTGACAAAACAGACATGTTGGCATATACTGTTTACGGTAAGATATCAAAGCAAACATGAAGTTCTGCAGATGCTTTAAAACAGAAATTGTTGTAATCAGTACAGGGAACTCACATCTACTCCCAGAATTAAGCTGAATAAACAATCTGTAAACCTAAAGTACAACCAACACTTATATACACACTCAAAACTTGAGGTATTTGCAATTGTGTCAATGAAATGTACACACCGTTTCCATGTTAAGCTAAAGGTTTACCATCTGCAGTCTATATCATGGGAATGACTTTCCTATGAAGGAAAGGGTCTACCCTTGGTTCCTGAACTACAGCTCTGTTCTTTACAGTTCTGATGCGCTCCAGTACCTTTTAAATACACATCTGGAAATTATTGTAATCATTAGTTAACACATAGTTGTAACTTAGGTTTACTGGCCCTTTATACAGTCATAAGTGTTCAGGTCATATGTGAAAAAAAATAAAATAATAATCTTGTGTAAAACTGAATGCTGCAGCACATTTCTTCCTGCTGTGACCAAATGTCAGAATGGGGCACTTTCTCCTACTTGATCAGTTAAATGCAGCTCCTGTATGAAAAAATACATTTTAACTTAAAGCTGGAAGTCATACATTAGGAAATTAACAAAATATCTTCCCATGCCATTCTTTCAAAGTATCAGAAGATATCTTTCAATCAATATCCAGATTAAAACCTTTATACCAGGCTCAGATTTCTTTGAATCAGGAAACTAGTCACAAAATGTCCAACCTGGCTGAAAGACTTTTCTTCCAGCTTACTGCCCAGAGGTTGCAGTCATTTGTAATGATATTTCATTCTTAATGATAAAATGATTAAAAAAAAAAATCCCCAAGAGCTGAAGTGCTTTGTATTAAACCATGGCATGAAACGTCTAGGAGTACCTTTAGACATCCTTGTGCAGAGTACTGGGACAGCTCATCTGTAAGATGTACATTGCTCATTGAGGTCAGGAGGTATTTCAGACATTGTACCCAAGATATGCAAACATTTTTTACCCATAAATGATTATCTTGAGATAGTATACACAATACTGTACGTACAGATTCACACACGGTCATGAAGTCATACACTACATGCTCACAGACATTCCTGATAATACTTGAAATTAATAGTCATAAGAGCAGGTCAACAGACTTCCCATGACTTGGCACAGTTTTGATCCCCAAAGGTCTTGCATTGACTCCAATGTATTTGGTAGTCAGATGTGCTTGATGCTATATTTCCCTTTTTGGAGCTGAGAAATGTATAGTTTGGATTTGCTGCCATCTTGTCTCTTAAACCAAACTTCATCGCTATTGATAGTAGTTATGACGGCACTGCAAGGTAAAAGAAAAAACAGATTTAGAAGCTGCATCCATCATTTCATAGTGCATAGTGCATAGTGCATATTTAAAACAGTGTTTGCAAAAGCTGAAGTCCATGCAAACACTGACATGACAGGGATCAGAAACCAGGTATGTTGGTGTTGACTGCAATGGAAGAAGGAATGTTGGTGGAAAACTGAAGCAGTATAAAGTGGTCAGGGGTAGGCTTTACAACGAGCCTGGTGGTGTGCCTTGAATTTACAAAGTGACTGGGCCTATAATGTACAAATGATGAATAAAAAACATAACACAAGGCAATGCCCTAGTATTGAAATACAGACAGTATAATTGTGCTTTATTCTTAAATGCAACACTTGTGCTTGTGAATTCAGAAAAAGTTGTACATCTGTTAGAAATGAATACTAAAAACAATTCTAAAAACACACCTTTTAAAAGAGTATGTTATATATTTTTGGGGCATTCATATATTCCTATTGAGACACATGCGCCACCCAGTTAAAGTTTATGGTAAAAAGATCCTGATTCCTGGCATGGCAAGGCAGGTTCCAAGCCAAAAAAAAAAAGTTAAACAATGCTCCAGATATGTAGCTCTACAGTATGTAAAGAGAATTATAGCATTACAATCATGGTTGTAATGGAAACAGCAGCTAGATAAGGTAAAAGAACTTATGCCATGTTTTAAAAATGTTTAATTTGAATTGTGGCCACCTAATGTTTCACCACAATAAAAATGTATACACACAAACACTTTTTTTGCCATGATAAGATTACTTTGAGAGTTCAGCAAATACTTGCCTGGTTGGGTACTCATCTTTCTTGTCTATACAGATTGCCTGCCCTCGTCCGTACCATTCTCCATCATAATGCAGCCTCCCATCCTCTGATCTTGCCGTGTGCTGATGTTTCTCCATTTTTACTGTAACTAACATGATAAAATTTACATGCATACACTGCTGCAATCTTTTGGGGGCAATTTTTCTACCAAGTCATTCACAAACATGTCAAAAGACATGACAGGAAAAATCTTTCCAAAGTGTGGGTGATTAAATTTTGACAGCTGTTACTGGAACAAGGGCCCAAATAAAGATTGTTTTATAGTGACAATTGTCAAAAAACAAGTAAATACTTTAAGTGTGTGGTACATCAATCTCTCCCCCAGCTCCCTGGACGTATTTAATCAGCAACTTAACCACTTGAAGTCCGCGGTGTTAAACTCCCTTCCTGTCCAGGCCATTTCAGTATTCAGCGCTGCGGTACTTTGACATTTATTCCCTAATGCAACACTGTACTGAAATGAATTTTATACCATTGTTTGGGACAGATAGTTTTATTTTGGTGGTATTTAATCACCACTGGGGTTATTCTTTAATATATCAAAAAGGAAAAAAAAAAAAACTGTTTCCCCTATATTAAAATGATAAAACATTACCTAATTTTTTTGCTAAAATATGAGATAGGGGTCACGTCGGGTAAATAGACACCAAACATGTCAAGCCTTAAAATTGCGTGCGAAGCCTCAGAAAACTAGTGAAAGCTCCAGAGCCGCCGATCGTATGTATATCAAACAGCCGTTAACGGCTGTAAAGAACAGGCGAGTTTTTACTGCCCGATGGCAGGAGGTTAAAGCCAGGACTTGTTTAGTATCACAGAAGCAGATATTGACATATCCGTGCAGAGTCAGGAGGTTTCGCAGATAGTCAGAGCAGTGAATATTTTCACTTTTTATGTTTTGCAACACTGTTTCTATCTGCAATCAGCACCAGTCTATGGGATTATTAGTTACATAACTTTCGTGGTTAATGTATCTACTTGCAATACAGGTGTTATCCGGAATTTGACAGGACCATTCATAATTTACTAGTGCTCATTTCATCTGCAAGTGAGAACAGGGGGACCCTGATTTATTGTTATTTATATTCTTAAGAATGATCAGAAGATAAATTATACCAAGAACATTTGATTTTGGCCCTCTCTCACAACAGCTGCCACAGAAGGAATGTAGATGCAGTTTTGCTAGACAGAGGTCAAATTCTTAGCAAATAGACCCTTAGCGGTCCTAAAACACAGAAACGCATCAAGCTATATTAAAATAATAATTCACGTCTATAGATTGCATAGAAAATTATTTTTGCAAGCCAATTTTGGCAAAAATTATTCACTGCTTCATAGTCAAATAATCCTTCATTGGGCTCGTGCAGACCACAGGTGCTCATGTCAAATGCTTCTCCATTGAAATGCAGCAAAATGCATAGTTTGACCTGCTTTGCCTACATCTCAGTGGAAATAGTGACTTATAAAAACTAAAAGTACTATTTATAATTCTTACCTTCGGGCTTTACACGATGAGGACCCAGTGTTGCCATTGCCTATGTAACAATAAGAAACATTTAATACCAATCTCTTACAAACGTTACTAGAAACATAAATATGTCATCTCAGAAAACCTTACCTTTCTGATTGTAGTCCAGTCTTCAAGTATATCCAGATCTTGTAACATGTAAACAATATATGGACGTGGTATAGCTAAGGACTGTTCATACACATACGGTCATTAAAATATATCTTTTCTTTCAGTATTCAGTCCCTGCAATCAGGAGCAACATTCTCAAGCAATGATAAAACAATGGTTTTTTGCCTTTTTTTTGCACAAAAGTTTCTGGGGGAAAAAAAACACACACACACACACACACACACACACACACACAATATATGGACGTGGTATAGCTAAGGACTGTTCATACACATACGGTCATTAAAATATATCTTTTCTTTCAGTATTCAGTCCCTGCAATCAGGAGCAACATTCTCAAGCAATGATAAAACAATGGTTTTTTGCCTTTTTTTTGCACAAAAGTTTCTGGGGGAAAAAAAACACACACACCCACACACACACACACACACACACAACAAAAAGTCTATGGGCAGCCGTGTGTAAACCGGTTACACCCAGCCCCCGGCCAGGCCTGGGAAAACAAACTGATCATTGCGAATCGGGGGTAATCTGATGTAAACGTACACATGTATGTTTACATCCGATTCCCCATAGACAGACATTGAGTCTGGTAACAGCAGTGCTTTGTCCTCCATTGAAAGGTGACATCTGCTCTGTACTGCTGTGATCAGGAGGGGAGCAGTGCAACGATCCTCTCCTGCCAAGCCCATGTCAAAGGGGCCTAAAAGCATTAAATCTCCAGTAGAATCAGCTGTTCCACTGAGAACTGGCCCTGATATCCTTAGGTTTTAGGGTGGCACCTTTCCCTTGCAGGGTCTTATGGAGCCACCCTTGTCTGTGCTTGTAAGACACACACGGCAATGTATACAGTTCTGATGCGCTCCAGTACCTTTTAAATACACATCTGGAAATTATTGTAATCATTAGTTAACACATAGTTGTAACTTAGGTTTACTGGCCCTTTATACAGTCATAAGTGTTCAGGTCATATGTGAAAAAAAATAAAATAATAATCTTGTGTAAAACTGAATGCTGCAGCACATTTCTTCCTGCTGTGACCAAATGTCAGAATGGGGCACTTTCTCCTACTTGATCAGTTAAATGCAGCTCCTGTATGAAAAAATACATTTTAACTTAAAGCTGGAAGTCATACATTAGGAAATTAACAAAATATCTTCCCATGCCATTCTTTCAAAGTATCAGAAGATATCTTTCAATCAATATCCAGATTAAAACCTTTATACCAGGCTCAGATTTCTTTGAATCAGGAAACTAGTCACAAAATGTCCAACCTGGCTGAAAGACTTTTCTTCCAGCTTACTGCCCAGAGGTTGCAGTCATTTGTAATGATATTTCATTCTTAATGATAAAATGATTAAAAAAAAAAATCCCCAAGAGCTGAAGTGCTTTGTATTAAACCATGGCATGAAACGTCTAGGAGTACCTTTAGACATCCTTGTGCAGAGTACTGGGACAGCTCATCTGTAAGATGTACATTGCTCATTGAGGTCAGGAGGTATTTCAGACATTGTACCCAAGATATGCAAACATTTTTTACCCATAAATGATTATCTTGAGATAGTATACACAATACTGTACGTACAGATTCACACACGGTCATGAAGTCATACACTACATGCTCACAGACATTCCTGATAATACTTGAAATTAATAGTCATAAGAGCAGGTCAACAGACTTCCCATGACTTGGCACAGTTTTGATCCCCAAAGGTCTTGCATTGACTCCAATGTATTTGGTAGTCAGATGTGCTTGATGCTATATTTCCCTTTTTGGAGCTGAGAAATGTATAGTTTGGATTTGCTGCCATCTTGTCTCTTAAACCAAACTTCATCGCTATTGATAGTAGTTATGACGGCACTGCAAGGTAAAAGAAAAAACAGATTTAGAAGCTGCATCCATCATTTCATAGTGCATAGTGCATAGTGCATATTTAAAACAGTGTTTGCAAAAGCTGAAGTCCATGCAAACACTGACATGACAGGGATCAGAAACCAGGTATGTTGGTGTTGACTGCAATGGAAGAAGGAATGTTGGTGGAAAACTGAAGCAGTATAAAGTGGTCAGGGGTAGGCTTTACAACGAGCCTGGTGGTGTGCCTTGAATTTACAAAGTGACTGGGCCTATAATGTACAAATGATGAATAAAAAACATAACACAAGGCAATGCCCTAGTATTGAAATACAGACAGTATAATTGTGCTTTATTCTTAAATGCAACACTTGTGCTTGTGAATTCAGAAAAAGTTGTACATCTGTTAGAAATGAATACTAAAAACAATTCTAAAAACACACCTTTTAAAAGAGTATGTTATATATTTTTGGGGCATTCATATATTCCTATTGAGACACATGCGCCACCCAGTTAAAGTTTATGGTAAAAAGATCCTGATTCCTGGCATGGCAAGGCAGGTTCCAAGCCAAAAAAAAAAAGTTAAACAATGCTCCAGATATGTAGCTCTACAGTATGTAAAGAGAATTATAGCATTACAATCATGGTTGTAATGGAAACAGCAGCTAGATAAGGTAAAAGAACTTATGCCATGTTTTAAAAATGTTTAATTTGAATTGTGGCCACCTAATGTTTCACCACAATAAAAATGTATACACACAAACACTTTTTTTGCCATGATAAGATTACTTTGAGAGTTCAGCAAATACTTGCCTGGTTGGGTACTCATCTTTCTTGTCTATACAGATTGCCTGCCCTCGTCCGTACCATTCTCCATCATAATGCAGCCTCCCATCCTCTGATCTTGCCGTGTGCTGATGTTTCTCCATTTTTACTGTAACTAACATGATAAAATTTACATGCATACACTGCTGCAATCTTTTGGGGGCAATTTTTCTACCAAGTCATTCACAAACATGTCAAAAGACATGACAGGAAAAATCTTTCCAAAGTGTGGGTGATTAAATTTTGACAGCTGTTACTGGAACAAGGGCCCAAATAAAGATTGTTTTATAGTGACAATTGTCAAAAAACAAGTAAATACTTTAAGTGTGTGGTACATCAATCTCTCCCCCAGCTCCCTGGACGTATTTAATCAGCAACTTAACCACTTGAAGTCCGCGGTGTTAAACTCCCTTCCTGTCCAGGCCATTTCAGTATTCAGCGCTGCGGTACTTTGACATTTATTCCCTAATGCAACACTGTACTGAAATGAATTTTATACCATTGTTTGGGACAGATAGTTTTATTTTGGTGGTATTTAATCACCACTGGGGTTATTCTTTAATATATCAAAAAGGAAAAAAAAAAAAACTGTTTCCCCTATATTAAAATGATAAAACATTACCTAATTTTTTTGCTAAAATATGAGATAGGGGTCACGTCGGGTAAATAGACACCAAACATGTCAAGCCTTAAAATTGCGTGCGAAGCCTCAGAAAACTAGTGAAAGCTCCAGAGCCGCCGATCGTATGTATATCAAACAGCCGTTAACGGCTGTAAAGAACAGGCGAGTTTTTACTGCCCGATGGCAGGAGGTTAAAGCCAGGACTTGTTTAGTATCACAGAAGCAGATATTGACATATCCGTGCAGAGTCAGGAGGTTTCGCAGATAGTCAGAGCAGTGAATATTTTCACTTTTTATGTTTTGCAACACTGTTTCTATCTGCAATCAGCACCAGTCTATGGGATTATTAGTTACATAACTTTCGTGGTTAATGTATCTACTTGCAATACAGGTGTTATCCGGAATTTGACAGGACCATTCATAATTTACTAGTGCTCATTTCATCTGCAAGTGAGAACAGGGGGACCCTGATTTATTGTTATTTATATTCTTAAGAATGATCAGAAGATAAATTATACCAAGAACATTTGATTTTGGCCCTCTCTCACAACAGCTGCCACAGAAGGAATGTAGATGCAGTTTTGCTAGACAGAGGTCAAATTCTTAGCAAATAGACCCTTAGCGGTCCTAAAACACAGAAACGCATCAAGCTATATTAAAATAATAATTCACGTCTATAGATTGCATAGAAAATTATTTTTGCAAGCCAATTTTGGCAAAAATTATTCACTGCTTCATAGTCAAATAATCCTTCATTGGGCTCGTGCAGACCACAGGTGCTCATGTCAAATGCTTCTCCATTGAAATGCAGCAAAATGCATAGTTTGACCTGCTTTGCCTACATCTCAGTGGAAATAGTGACTTATAAAAACTAAAAGTACTATTTATAATTCTTACCTTCGGGCTTTACACGATGAGGACCCAGTGTTGCCATTGCCTATGTAACAATAAGAAACATTTAATACCAATCTCTTACAAACGTTACTAGAAACATAAATATGTCATCTCAGAAAACCTTACCTTTCTGATTGTAGTCCAGTCTTCAAGTATATCCAGATCTTGTAACATGTAAACAATATATGGACGTGGTATAGCTAAGGACTGTTCATACACATACGGTCATTAAAATATATCTTTTCTTTCAGTATTCAGTCCCTGCAATCAGGAGCAACATTCTCAAGCAATGATAAAACAATGGTTTTTTGCCTTTTTTTTGCACAAAAGTTTCTGGGGGAAAAAAAACACACACACACACACACACACACACACACACACACACACACACACCTAAAAATCGGTTGATTTATAAACCATTCACAGGGCCGTTAGTCCTGCGAATATCTGTATAGGTTTGTGATGCGTGAATATTTGCACAAACAAACTTAAAATGTATGCTGCTTCTTGATGTTTAAGGCCCCTTTCACACTGGTGTTCCAATTAGGTCCGCCTCTCAGTTTTTCAGGTTGACCCATCAGATGTCCAATGCAAGTCTATGGGCAGCCGTGTGTAAACCGGTTACACCCAGCCCCCGGCCAGGCCTGGGAAAACAAACTGATCATTGCGAATCGGGGGTAATCTGATGTAAACGTACACATGTATGTTTACATCCGATTCCCCATAGACAGACATTGAGTCTGGTAACAGCAGTGCTTTGTCCTCCATTGAAAGGTGACATCTGCTCTGTACTGCTGTGATCAGGAGGGGAGCAGTGCAACGATCCTCTCCTGACAAGCCCATGTCAAAGGGGCCTAAAAGCATTAAATCTCCAGTAGAATCAGCTGTTCCACTGAGAACTGGCCCTGATATCCTTAGGTTTTAGGGTGGCACCTTTCCCTTGCAGGGTCTTATGGAGCCACCCTTGTCTGTGCTTGTAAGACACACACGGCAATGTATATAAAATGTAAATGTTCCGATTGCAATATCACATTATGGCCACAAGATGAAGCTGAGCAGCTTAACCACTTGAAGACCAGGTGTTTACACCTCCTTCCTGGCCAGGCCATTTTTCAGTGTTCAGCGCTGCAGTACTTTGACGTTTATTCTGTCATGCAACGCTGTACTGAAATGAATTCTATACAATTTTTTTGGGACAGATAGAGCTTTCTTTTGGTGGCATTTAATCACCACTGGGGGGTTTAATTTTTTACTATATTAAAAAGGGGGGGGAAAAAAAAGTATTTTTTCCATTATATATTAGGAAACAGTAATTACCCATATTTTAGGTAAAATATAAAAGTCAGGGTCACGTCGGGTAAATAGACACCAAACATGTCATGCTTTAAAATTGCGTGCACCCGCAAAAAACTACCATACCCAAAATTGACCATGGGCGACGCTTTAAAAGCTTTTACAGCTCATCAGTTTAGTGTTATCAGTGATTGATAGCCCTAGAACTATTGCTCTCATTCCAACGTTCGCGACGATATGTAACATGAGGCGTAATAGGCGAAATCGTCATTTTCACGTATGCTCACCCGACACCTGTTTGCATGCGTGTATGTATGGGGGGGGGGGGGCTT